TGATAAGTTTAGCAAGCTTTTCTCCAATTACCTTGGTAAAGCCAAAGATTAGTACAAATCTTATACGTTAAGAAATATATTTAGTTGCTAGCAAAAAACCCCCATTTTATAATATTTTAGATTTTTATATTATAGTATAATTTTTCACTATAACATTTATTTTAATTTTTAGAATCTAAATTTATATGTATTTTAAGTTTTTTAAAAAATATTCCTAATTAATGCTTGTCAGTCCACCTACTTAAAAGGAAGAAAACCAAAGTGAAGCTTAGTGGTACTGAATGATGGAGCACTTATGGGACTAGTCTCTTTCAAAACAGAAGACAGATTTTGCTATGTCAAACTGTTGAAGTTGACGTTTGATGAACTCATTTTGTTAACTGAAATTCTGCTTAAACTCAAAAAATGTATTTAGGTCATATCCTGAATGTTAGTGGATAGCTGTGGAGCCATAGCTTCCCCCTCTTGCCCCATAGGCTGAAACTTTAAATAGCTGCTGTAGAGCCTGTTAATTTTAAAATACTTTGACTGACTTGATATTTAATAACTACATCATTTGCTAAAAATTTCTGGCTAAAAATCTATAGTGCTTTCCAAAAACTATACCTCTGTATATTGAACTTTCAGGTAGTAATATTTTTACAGTTGTGGTAGGGAACATTTATTTCTTTTTTTTTTTTCTGGATATTTCATTACAAATTATGCATGCGTACATATTTGCAAATGAATGGAGATGTAAGGGCATCTATTGATACATCTATTTTACTGCATCACTACCAAAGCTGGTTTCATGTTCTGGGATATGCTGAGATATTTCTGAAAAGGACCATATGAGACAGAACATTTATCATGAGTCTTACTAATAAAAATAAATTGTAAGTATACATTTAGAGTATTTGCATTTGAACTATACTTAAATATTTTTTTTCTGTTTTAATGAATAGTTACATTTTTTTGTCTTATGTATATCTATGATGTATCAGTCTGAGAATGAATATTAGGGTTTAAAGTAGTCATAGATAATGCTCATGTTGGGTGAATGCTGTTGTTTATTAAATCTTTTTCTTGTAATTCCATTAACTGTTTAAAGTAGAATGTAACAGTACTTGGAAAATTGTTCAGTAGAATTTGATTTCTTAAAATAGATTTTTTTTTTTAGTAAATAATGAAAATGATACATACAAAAGTTCTGTTTCCTCCCCTGTGTTTCAATTTTAAATTTAAATTAAACCAGTCTTATATTCTTGATCTACTTCACTGGAACAGACATGACCTGTGTTTTAATATGAAACAAATCTCAAAGAGTTCCACCTAGTGAAATTTAGAGTAAAGCAAAATTAATTTTATGATTAAAAAAGCCAATGTTACAAAATACTTGTCAGAGTTATTTAAAACTCAAATACAGAGCAGAGGGGAAAGTATATGGGGCTAAGTTTACATATATGGCTTTCCAGTTTCACTACCTGGGCCTAGGAAGTCTCTGATAAATTCTCTCTTACACTGTTAAGCCCTCTTATACTTTAATGCATATATCTGAAGGCAAATTTTTATAGCATGGAACATTTTATTTGATTATATAATTTTCTTTCAGATTCCATAGTACAGTACCTTAATTTTGATAATGAAAGTAATTTTCTTTTGAGAATTTGGGTCACTGTAGAATTCTAAAGCCTGTCTGTGGGTGAGATTTAAATTAATCCCTTGAATATTTAAGAAGCATTCCTGAGACCATTGACAAAAAGTGACAAGATTAGCACTTGAAGTTTATTGACAGGATGCCTCATAGCAAAGATATTTATCTGTAAGGGTATTGTTTTTTTAAAATGAATAAAGCCTGTCTTAAACTCTGGGAATATACATGCTTTCTGAAATATATGAAGAATGGAGCAGTTTCTTTTCATACAGCTCATGGCACAGGGGCATAATGGTTTACAGAGGTAAGAGTTACACGTTGACAAAACTACATGGTAACTAATTTCTTAGCAGATAAAAATATAAGTTCTTGAGGATTAAGAAAGTCTTAACAGTCCCTGTCATAAGTTGAATTCAGGCATGCCCAAAAGTAAGTAATTATTCAGCAATAAAATTACATCCTTACATACATGCCTGTACCCAGATATATGTTGGAGAATGACAAAGGTTACCAGAGGGTTTGTTGTTCTTTCTGGGTTTAAAAACCCAGGGAGAACTGTATCATATTTTGTGTTCCAAGATTTTAGCATGTGAGACTGCTCAATCTCTTTGTCTCCTGTAACCTTTTTGAGAGAACTCTTTGTGATTAACTGGTCACAAAATCTTGTCTGCATTAGCAGATCTTTACTAATCCTGTGCCCATCCCAACAAACAAATACTCTGTGGTACTGACTCTACTTTCACATCCCCCAGTGTGGTCCTATTCCCATCAGAGTATTTCCTTCAGATTTATATATCGCAAATAGAAGAATAATCACGTCCTTTTCTCTTATTTTATCTACGGACTATGCATTGGATGACTTATTTTAAACCAGTTGTGTTCAATGGGGATGTTTTTAATTTGCTGCCTGTTCTCTTTACCTCTGAGGAAAGAATTTTGTAAATGCTGAATAATTTTAGAACATGTTTTCTTGGTTAAGGGTTGGATATTTTAAATTAGTTTTAAGAGGAAGGAAATCGTGTAAATGCTGTGGAATTCAGATAAGCACTGTGCATAGGAAATAAGCACTTTAATTTAGGGTACCTAGCATTGGTAGGTCAAGCTGATGATAATAAAGGAACAGATCTTAACTTTGTTTCAAATAATATGTAATCAATATTCTCTCTCTTGGTTTATTTCCTTTTTGCTTGAGAATTTATTTTGGTGAAGCTGAAATGTGCAGTTGCGTAAGTACTCCACAGGGTGTCATGAGGTAGTTGTTAGAATCATTAATACTTGGATGAAAGTAAAGAAAGAAACATAGTGTGCAGTCCTCTGAATGCCAGCTAATGTAATTTTAGATGTAACTAATACACATCCCATAAAATAAAAAGTTCTTAACTCATTAACACATGTATCTTATTTCTGTATCTGTATAAAATACACACACAAAATAAAATATTACAAGAAGTCATTTACAAGAGTGAGCTATTCTATGTCAGGTCTTCCCAAGAAACCTTTCTATATATACTTTAGTATTTTATATACAGAGCAAGTGGAATCTTTGGCCCATAGCAGTAATCTGACATACCAAACTATATATATAAAGAAGACAAAAAAAAAAAAAAAAAAGGTACAATACTTGTGTTGCTATACTGTTATAAAGAATTTCTAACTGAAATATGCTCCTCCAAATTTATTTGCAAATTTTATTGTAGTTTTTATTTAAGTTCTTTTAAAATGCAGATTTAAACAAACTTTATACAGTTCACAAAGCTGTACTGTGGATTTTATGATTTGTTAATTATAGATATATATGATGTCAAAACTTAACTGAAGGCTTTTTTTCTGCACATGTATAATGTAGTAGGAAGAGAAATTTTACCAAGGTATGCCCCAAATTAATGTGTGTTTTGATTACGGTGATACATTTTTGCATATGGTGACCAAATTTTTCTTGATGTAACTGTTGACTTCTGTGGAGCTGCACATGCATTGAATTCAGCTTCAGGCTTGTAAAAGAATCTTTAAATACAGTTTAACAGTAGTCATGAAGGATCCTGCTTCTGTTAAAATCTGAATTGCTTTAAACGGAAATGACATTGGCCATGAAAAAAATTACATTATGTTATGAAATGAACAGCAAAACTTAATTCATTTCAGTATTAACAGAATGTGATCCAAAGTGTAAAATCACTGATGAAAGCAAAAATTTGGATTTCTGTTGACAGTAATAATTTGTCTAATTTTAACAGCATATTTCAAACCAGTTTTGAACAAGTGATACCTTACAGGTTTAGGCATATTTGGTTGTGTTATATTAAGTAGCATACTAAAATAATAGACTAGTTAATTTTGTTGTTACTATTTATTTGTGCTGAGTATTATGGAAAAAATTTGGGGTTTATGCTGGTGGCATAACAGTGAGTGGCACTAAGAGCGTAGGATGAAGGGGAGGCTGATTCTTCTGACAGATGATTAATAAAATTTTGCACATATGACATACCACATGTCCTCTCTGAATTATGCCCAGAAGGTCATAGTGCCTTATAGCCATACAAGGTGAATTTCATGATAATCAGAACCCTGAATACTTTTATTCAGGTTTGCTTCCAAAATCTGCATGGTCCTGTGGACAATTTTTTGTGCAAAACTTTTCTGACAGCCCTATAAATCATGACCTGTTTAATAAACCTGTGTGTTTATAGATACCTTAGCAGTATGTTTAAAGACTCGCTAGAGGAAGAACTAGACCTGTTTAAAGCAGTTTTAATATCCAGAATAGAGTAACATACCTTAAATCTTCATGGAGATGAAGAAAGTGAATGGAAATGGTGGCCTTTGGGTTATGTGGGGTTTTTTTATTAGTTTTTGTTTCTGGGTTTGGCTTTTTGAAATATAAACATCCTGACCTCTGTCCAGGTGAGTTTCCTTTACAGCAGGGTGTTGGGAAAGAAGAGGTTTTCAGATAGGTAGGTTATCATCTTTCTTCTTCCTCAGTTTAAGGCTTGCTGAACTCACTTTGCCTCTCCCTGTCCTTGTTATTGCAACTAGAATAATCTAAAAGTGTAATTCCACACATACTTTGAATTACTGAGGTAATGTAGTACCTTAAAGTGATTAATATCAGAAAATATTTAAATAATAAAATATCTGACTGCACTGAGATTTTTCCTATAGTTTATTAGAAAATTACACTTTTTAGCAAAGGGCAACAAAACAGAAAGGACAGCAAACTGTTGATATTACATCATGTAAAAACTTGGCAGTATACTGAGGTATGTATCATATGTGTGATATGTATACATTCAGTTGATCCTAGCACTCAATTCCCTCTTTGAATGTTAAGACAAGGTTGATGAATATTACCATCTGTTTTTATTTTCAGATTGAAAACCTGCAGGAGCAACTTAGGGACAAGGACAAACAACTAACTAATCTAAAAGACAGAGTGAAGTCATTGCAGACAGATTCTAGTAACACAGACACAGCACTAGCAACCTTAGAAGAAGCTCTATCAGAGAAGGTAATGTTTTCTCATGGAACAACTTTATGTTCTGCTCTTGTGGGTGAAGTGTGTCCAGAAAATGTCTTTTTGAGTTGGTCTAGCACATGTAACATGGGCCTTGTGAGAAAAGCAGGTGGCTCTGTACTGGTAAGATGAGCAAGGAATGATTCCTGGCTGATGAATGAAACAGGACTCTGAAATGAAGAAGGATGTTCTTTTAGATGGGACCAGAGTGAATGGCCCAGGACATGGGAAGATTTTCCCTTAGTCAACGGGATGAGTGGTGGTTCCCTGAAATATTTGAAAGGCACGGACACCTGATTTAAAGAAGTTAGAGTTTGGGGTATTTTTATGGCTTTGTGATCTTGATTTTCTGGTTCTTTTGTCTGTTAAGAAGAGTTTAACTGAAGAGCCAACAGCAAGCCAACAGTTATCTTGCCTTGCTGTTAGCACTACTGGTTTCCTACACTTAATTTATAAGAGAAACGGTATTTCATAAAAAAAAACTGAGATTTTTTTTTTTCTTTAAAAACTATATGCCTTTAATTTGAAAATACCTAACAGAAGGAATAAATCCGGATTGTTTAAATTAGTGACAGCATTTCTACCAGTTTCAGTGAGGTCAGGGTTTTCCTTCCGCTTAACTCTGAATACTAGGTAATCCAAGTGAATTTATATGCCAGAAGAATTACTACAAGCATCCACTTTTTGCAGCTCACAGATCTTAATATGTATCACTTAAATGTGCTCAGGTGAGCACCACTAATTAAAGTGTTATATGCCATTCTGCAGTGTGGAATCCTCTGTAGGTATTTATGCCTCTATATGACTTTAAAATGCCATTGTGGTTTTGGCACTAACACCTAAAATGCTAATGTTGGATTTTTAAATTTCTTTGTATGTTTAATCACCTTACTAACATTTGCTTGGTCAAAAACAGTGAAAAAAGTTGGCATTACTATTACTTCTGTGGCTTCTTATGGATAAGCTTACAGCATTTATTCAGTAAAGAAAGTTAGAGGCATTTTGTTACTGTTTTGCTACCAATCTGGACACAGCGCTAACCAATCTCACAGCGTATTATTAAAAAATGACATGAAGTACTACTTAATCTGTTTTTCCTCCTTGTAAACTATCTTTTCACAATTAGTTTATGTTGTCACTTTCTCAAAATGCCCATAGAGGCAGCTGAGAGTTTAAAACAATCCTTTAACGATCATGCTACTGTTGTTAATGCAGAAAGCAGAGTGTGTGTCACACTGTAAAATTCCCAGTTCTCCTGTGCAACTGAGCATTAAGTAGATGGTCAAAAGCCAAAGAAATTTTGTATCCCATTTCGGCCTCATCTATATCTGCAACATTTCAGAGAAAATGCACCTATGCAATAATTTTTTAGCTGGGGTAATTTGCTAAGTTGCAGTCTGTCTTCAACTGTGATGTTATTTCTCTGTTGAAAATGTTAAATTAATGACAGTTTGCCAAGGCTCATAGTGGCAGCTAGTGTGAAGGCATTGAACAGGTCATGTATAGTCATCTTCTCACTACCAGAAACGCAAAAGATTAAATAGTAGCGGGTTAAAACCTAACCCAACTTAATGAGTGGCAATTTGTTGTTTTCAAGTTGTTTTGTTCCAGTACCATTCTAAAATCTGTTGAAATAAATGTAAACTAATGAATAAATGTAAAAGTTTTTATAATTTTTGAGAAATTTTGTGTGCATCGGAAAAGAAAATATTCCATTATTGTCAAACATACAAATTTTAAAATTTTGCTAACGCAGGTTGTATTATTTTTGGTTATTGTAGTGAGGATTTGTTCCAGAGTTTTTTAAAAATTGTGCTGTAGAATTTCTTTTTGTATATGATAACTTGAAATGTGACCACACAAGAGACCCTGATGTTATGGAAATTTTGTGTCAAGCTTTATCTAATTGCAGTAATAAAGGTTCAAAGTCTGAAAAATTACGCTAGTTTTAATGTTTTGGAAAAATTAGATAAACTTAGATCCTTCTCTGAAATGTATTTCTTGCAGTTCATGTCTACTTCATTTGGAATTGCTAGGGTATATATGAACAGACCCTTTTTAAAAGAATCAGTGTGGTTTTCCCAAGTGGAATTGATCAGAACTCACATGGGGTCCCTAAGGTTGAATTCTGTATGAAGTAGTCCCTTTGCCTACATACAGTCAGCTGAGAGTGGCATTTCCCTGCATTGTTTGCAAGCTACTCCGAGACACATCTACAGTGAATACCATGGGATGTTTTCCTCTGCCACAGAGATTTCTGTCTTTTTGCAGCTGATGAATGCAATCGTGTCTTTTGTAAGCCAATGTTTTTCAGAAGTGGCATGAAGCTGAGTTGTGCTATGGTTTCTGGTGACTGTCAATCACATGAGGAGAGATTGTTACTTATAAAAGCTAGGTGACAGTATATAAAGGCAAGTACTCCATATGTTAGTGATATGCTTATCATTCTATATTACTTCAGAAATGCTACTTTGTTAATCTAAGAAAAAGATATCCAGAATTATTAAATAATAAGCTTTTTCTACAAATGAGCTTTATAACTTGTAATGTGTGACCAGTCACTGTGTGCTACTGGGAAATCTTTTTACAGTTGAGGAATGATTAGTGTATTAGATAAAAAAAAGGAGAAAAGCAACACTTCAGACTAGAATTAATATGAACATTTGAGAAACAGGGTACTTGATCTTAGAGCATTAGACACAGAGGAGGAAGTTTTCAAGGTAAAAGCATCTCTCTGTATGATTTAGATTGTTTATTGTGCATAGGAATCATGCACAATTTCTTTCCTATTATAAGTTACTTGAAGGCCGTGCTTTCAAGGGTAGGTTTCAGTATCAAGTGTAGTCTCTGGCATGTACTTATACATTGAAAGAAGCCAGTAGGCATCTTCTGGAAGTTCCAAATGAACTATTACATCTAGCTTTCTTGTGTATTCTGGCAGCTAAATACCTTGACAGTTTATGTTTATATATGTGTTCCATTCCTATTTGTGTCCAGTTTTCCAATCCATCCTAGCTTCTCTAAGTGAGTAACCTTTCTTAGCCCTATTCCTGTCTGCAGTACCATTCTTAACACCTGCAGAATTTATCAATAATTGACTTTTTCTACTGCAAATGCTGGTAGAAATATGGAATAGATTTTTTTTCAAACAGGACAAAACGAGAACCCTTAGTGATAGTTTCTTATTTACAGGTACATTAATATAAGCACGTTTATCAATTTAGATTTGTAATGCTGCCAAGAAAGGATGCTGCTTTCGTTCAAGAATACCTGATTGCCATGAAAATACATTGTTCGGGTTTGTTGTTCGTTTGTTTTTCCTAGAAATTGTATCAGACCTACTTTGCAGCTATATCATCTTGTTCTATATCCTGAAATTAGGCACATTTTTTTGGCTTTACCTTAATTCTTTATCAATTCAATAGTTTCTAAAATTTTAATTTAAAAATGAATGAAGAAAATACTCCACAAGCCTCATGGGAAGCTCTTTTAAAATAGAAATAAAATTTATTTTTACCAGTTTAGTTAACCACAATTCACTAAAATTGAACTTAATTGATTTTCTCAGTTTCTGTGGGAAGAGAAAAATATTAAAGCATCATCTCATGATATGAATTAATTATGACGCTATTTTTAAAGTCCAAAACTCAAATGTTTGAGCATTTATGTTTTTTCCTGCATTGCTCCTGAAAATAGTCAGATTGATATTTTGGTTCTGAATTAGAAAATATGGCTCCTTATTCTTCATGAAAATAGATTTTTCCAAGTATCTGTTGCTGATTTTCTTTCATATTTAGTGATTAGGTAGCTGGGTAACACTAAATGAGAAATTATTGTAGACATTGTAAAACAGCATCAATATTTCCTGAAATGGATTGCTTTTAATCTTTGAATTTTTCTGGTAATATTGCTGATATGTAATTTGTTCTCTTGTCGGAAATCAGAAATTAATCAGCACAACTTCAGTCACTTTTGAGTGCATTTTAGAACCAAAGAAGCTATTAATTCAGTTCTTTATCCTTAAGTTTGAAGCCTCTCCTAAGCACTGGAAATTCTAAACAACAATAAAGGTTACATTGCAATAAACAAAAAATAAATTTAATCCTATTAAGAAAAAAGTTTGAAAATCAGAATATGCAAAAGTGCTATCAGCTTCCTTAATGTTTTAACAAGAAACTTTTCAAAGAATATCTCAGCTCTTGGACTGGCCCATAGCAGCTCAAGAGGCTGCTTTCATGAAGCTGATATTTATAAAGTTGGTCCTACTGTAGCAGCATAGAGCAGATAAGCAATTGAGTATGTCTGATAACAGAGCTATATGCTGTGGCAATTCAGTTCCTGCTTCTGTGATAAAGTGCAAATAGATTAGACCTGTGAGGTCCTAGATTAGTGCATAAGGAAAGCTTGCCAATGCAAATAAGACTGAAACAAGAACACATTGTTGGGATTTCTGCAAGTTAGCTGTTAATCAAGTAAAACATGGTATATTAGGGCCTTTTAACACATTTTTGACATTTAGCCTTACACAGCTGACAGATAAATTAGTTGTCTTCTGTGATTGACTGAGAAAAAATTTATACTGTTCATTAATGAAATTAAATAGTGTTATGTTTAATTGGTTATAGAGGAAAAATAAAATTTTGATAAATAAATCTTCAGGAAGAGATTGGTATATAACTAAGTCTGAATATAAGTAGGTCAGTTCTGAAAGGTTATTAAACTATTCCACTTATTCGAGGCTGGCATTGTAATGTTAATATTCAAGGGATTAAGAATTTATATTATTTGTTACTAGGAATAAACTTGGAGTTATTTAGTGTCCCATACAAACATAGAATGGTTTGGGTTGAAAGGGACCTTTGACATCATGCAGTCCAACCCCCCTGCCACGGGCAGGGCCCCCTTCCCCCAGACCAGGTTGCTCAAAGCCCCGTCCAGCCTGGCCTTGAACCCTTCCAGGGAGGGGGCAGCCACAGCTTCTCTGGGCACCCTGTGCCAGTGTCTCACCACCCTCACAGTGAGGAATTTCTTCCTTATATCTAATCTAAATCTACCCTCTTTCAGTTTAAAACTGTTACCCTTGTCCTATCACTACATTCTCTGACAGAGTCCCTCCCCACCTTTCCTGTAGGCCCCCTTTATAGTGGACTTCAGTACCTAAGGTCTCCCCAGAGCATTCTCTTCTCCAGGCTGGACAACCCCAATTGTCTCAGCCTGTCTCCATAGGAGAGGTGCTCCAGACTCCTGATCATCTTTGTGGCCTCCTCTGGACTCGCTCAAGCAGGTCCATATCCTTCTTATACTGAGAGCCCCAGCGCTGAACACAGCACTGCAGGTGGGGTCTGACGAGAGCAGAGTAGAGGGTGACAATCCCGTCCCTTAACCCTCTAGTCACACTTTTGATGCAGCTCAGGATACAGTTGGCTTTCTGTGCTGCAAGCACATATTGCTGGGTCATTGTGAGCTTCTTATCAACCAACACCCCCAAGTCCTTCTCATCATCCATTCTCAATCCATTCTCTACCCAGCCTGTATTTGTGCTTGGGATTTCTTGACCCATGTGCAAGATCTTACACTTGGCCTTTTTGAACTTCATGAGGTTTGCATGGACCCTGTCAAGGTCCCTCTGGGTGGCATTTCTCCAGCATTATCAATGTCACCACTTGGCTTGGTGTCATCAGTGAACTTGCTGAGGGTGCACTCAATCCCACTGTCTAGGCTGCCAACAAAGATGATAAACAGCACTGGTCCCAACACCAACCCCTGAGGAACACTACCCATCACTGCTTTCCAATTGGATTTCAAGCTGTTGACCGCAACTCTTTCAGTGTGACCTTCCAGCCAATTCGTATCCACTGAGTGCTCTATCTGACAAATCCACACCTCTCCAATTTAGAGACAAGGATGTTGTGTGGACAGTGTCAAATGTCTTGCACAAGTCCAGGTAGATGATTCTCTTCCCTTATCCACCAGCGCTGTAACCCCATCATAGAATGCCACCAAATTTGCCAGGCACAATTTTCCCTTAGTGAAACTGTGTTGGCTGTCACCAATCACCTCCTTATTTTCCATGTGCCCTAGCATAGTTTCCAGGAGGATCCTCACCATGATCTTGCCAGGCACAGAGGTGAGACTAACTGGCCTGTAGTTCCCTGGGTGTTCCTTTTTTTCCCTTTTAAAAAATATCATCCCTTCCTTGCATATTTTCTATAGCAAAATCTAGCTAATAGTAAAATTAAAAAAAAACTACACTAGTATGTTTTCTGGTTTGTCATTTGTGTAACACACAACAGTGTGGAAGGACCTTCATTCTGTATGAATGGATTTCTACCTGAAATTCTGCCAGGTGTCAGTCAAAGGGTTAATTTGCCATTGGGATGAATGAAGCAAGGAGTCATATACATCTGCAGTTCCAGGGTCTCAGTGCATAGACAGTTGATACTGTCTTGGAAACAGATTTAATTACAGATAGTCTGCTACCTTTAATTTTGATCCTATCTTTTTGACTGTATGTTAAGTAGAACATAGTATGTCATCAATGTGTATTTCCTTCTGAATGAAATGAGTAGCTGTATGAGTTTTATATGAGCAGTCAATACTGTTTTCTCTGAAGTTTCTTACTGTAATGCTAATTTGGTAATACATATGTTGGGTTACCTAGATTGTAAAAGGGAGTCCCTGATGTCAGGGGAATGCTAGATGCAAAATGAAAGTAGCACTATAAACTTCCAGCCCAACTGAACAGTTGTCAACAGAGTTGCTGTTATGGTCAGTGTTACAAAGGGATGAATTGTGAAATGGGGGGAGACAGACTGAGCAGAAGAGAAACAACCAGTATTTGAGGTACAGAATCAAGAGAATGTCTCTGCCTATTCCCCAGAACCAATGAGACTGAAAAAGACCTCTAGAGATTATCTAGTCCAACCCAGCTGCTCAAAGCAGGGTCAACCAGAGCAGCTTGCTCAGGATCTTGACCGGCTGGGTTTTGAATATCTTCAAGATTGGAGACTGCTGGATTGAAAATCACAGCCTTGAGTTTAGGCTCTTTTTTATGCATATAAGTGTTGACAGTTGGCCTTTTGCAAAATATGCCTTGATCTTTAAAAAGCACAGAAGCAATCTTCAGAAGATCCTCTAAGGCTTGGAGGAACATCGTAACTAGTGTATAGGGAAAGAGAATGACCAGGGTTGTCTGAACTTTATACACTTTCTAAAAGTGCTGTTACTACTTGAGCTAACTCTGATAATTCATTTTTTTTTCTTTTGTTATAATGACTAAGTTTACTACAAATCAGAAGGGAATGTACAGCTGCTGAAATGTTGTTTGCATTGTAATATTTGTTGAGATACCATAACTACAGATGAGAGTGTATTGATATGAGCAAAGGTAAACTTAGTGTGTATGTGTAGTGTATGTGTGTGTGTGTGTATATATATATAGATCTATGTCCCCAGTGTGTGTGTTAGGTATATATATATTTGGCAGTATAAGGAATCATAGATGGAGGAAATTAACATGAGATTTTTCTCTCTTTCTAATAATATTAGGCATCCATCAGTCTTACCCAGTTCTGTGAAATAGTTTTTTAAGTATTGATCCCACTCTTAAATGCTTCATTGGAGATTTCAAGCATAAGTCCAAAAGGACTTGAACGGGATCTGTGAGCATAGTGATGGTTCTAGCTGAGCCACGCCACTGGTAGTGTAGAACTTCATCAGTCAGGATGCAGTTTTCTCCCATGTAGGTTTAACTTTCCTAAATGATGCTGCTTGCTCTGCCCCCTGACTACCACTTCCAAATTATACTAGTAGTTCACCTGATACTCTGCTTAAATTGAACTATGCCCAATTCAAATATAATTCCAGTGGTTATTATTTTACCCTAAATATTTCTCTCTGATTAGGATTTGCATCCTTCAAGTATTGGTAGAATGTGAACTTGAAGAATGTAATCAAAGCTTTACACAACCATACTGTTGTATCTGCTTTTTGCATTTCCCCCTTTGAGTTCATCACCCAGTTCTTGACTGGTGATTTTCAGCAATCCTTATAATAGTAACTGGAAGTCAACAAAATATTTTAAAATGTGGTTGAGTTTAAATGTGTGTAGGGTTGCTGTGAATTAGATGGAGAACAATCTTCCTTTGGATATCATAAGTTGTATCAGGATAATTTTTCTGTCTCTTGGACAACATTTTTTTTTTTTTGTCCTTTCAAAATATAATACATGTAAACTGGAAGTTACTGATAGGTAGCATGTGATTGATTTCTAATTAGATTTAGAATCTTGAAAACTTTTTGCAACCACCATAGAGGCTAATAGCCTTTAAAAAACTTAATCAAATTCAAGCTGAGTGAACCAGTCATGGCCTTTCTCTTTTGAACTTTTATTCAAGATTTCAATTGCTTATGAACATAAGAAATAAATTACTGAGATTAATAACTTCCCATATCTATGATAAGACTAAACATATTCATATCAGTATAGGTATTTAATGAAGTTTCTATACTATGTTACTCTTATCAAGTATTCAGAACCTTGATCTGATGATTTTGCAATCAGGGGAAATCTTGCATTGACTTTAATACCATTAACTCAATCATCCTCTGCTTCTAAAGGTTGTTTTTTTTATAAGTGCTACTTAATGCAAGAAATTTTATTCTGTCTTTTCTTAAAATGATTCCCAACTTTTCCATTTTGCGATTCTTTCACTTGTTAGGAAAGAATAATAGAGCGCTTGAAGGAGCAAAGGGAACGAGATGACAGAGAAAGACTTGAAGAAATTGAATCTTATAAAAAAGAAAACAAAGACCTGAAGGAGAAAGTTAATGCTTTACAAGCTGAACTGACAGAAAAAGAGGTCAGTCTTTTCAGTAAAATCTAAATTCTTCTATCTATGTCATTATGATGAAAGAATGTGCATTAAGCCTACTCTTGGATCATTTTAAGTACTGAAATCTGCCACTTCAGTGGTCAGCTTCTGAACTGCTATTTTCTTAAGCATTCTTCATAGTCCTCACCTTTGTACATAAAAATTTGCTTCAATTTTTGCGTAGTTGTGTGTCATTACCTCTACTGTTTCCTTTACATAAACCTCCAGTAGGCTCAAATATTTCATTCTTGCTCCTGTTTTCATTTGTCAGAGCAATAGACTTCAAAGTAATTGTACCTCCAGAATATAATGTCAAGTTGTCTGTATTATGAATGTTTCTATGTTTCACTGCGTTCCAGCTCCTGTGGCTTGAATTGGTTGTATTTTCAAATTTCAAAACAGTGTCTTTTGCTATCAATGCTTATCTTTGTGTCAACTCTTTTTGGGGAAGGGAGGGGGAACAGAATCCAAGTGATAACAAAGTTGATAATAAGTTAGTGTCCTGGTCACTAGGAATTAACTTTTTACTCTTGGTCATTTTTCAGTCTAGTTTAATCGATCTCAAAGAACATGCATCTTCATTGGCATCAGCAGGGCTGAAAAGAGACTCCAAACTTAAGTCTTTAGAAATAGCCATAGAACAAAAGAAAGAAGAGTGTAGTAAGTTGGAAGCACAGTTGAAAAAGGTAAGTTCCATCTTAAAACAACCAACCAACAGAAAAACAAAAATCAACATCCCACCCCCTCATTTTGAAAAGATGAGCTTATTTACTCTTCTTGAGTAAATCTAAAATCTACCCATTTTATGCTGTTTGCTGATGCTTGCATTAAATACTGCTAACCTAAGAGGCTTGTACCAAAGCCACTAGTGAGCCTCAGAAATTATCTTGAATACCTGTATGAGGGAATTCTGAGAAGCTGCTACAGATAGATGAACTGGGAGAAGGACGTTGTAGGGAAAGTAAAAGAGCAGAAAGAAGTTAGCAAACCAGCAATTTATATGTATATTAATTTATACCGCTATTAGAAATAGACTGAAATATTTTTAGCATGGGAAAAAATTAAAGGCTAATCCAAGAAATGCTGTACTTCCTAATAAAAAAAATTCTGCTTTCAGAATGAAAAGTCTAGCTAGGTTTTATTTTGGCATTTTTGGAGCTTTGTTGGTGAACATGTTTATGATAATTAAGCAAAATAATGCGTAGTTTATCTCAGCTAGCAATTCATTATTTCTATTCAGCAAGGAGTAGAAGCAAGCATTTAAAGGAAAACATACAGATCCTATATTTTCTAACATGGTTTTATTTAAATTGATGCATTAAAATAGTTTTTGCTTAAATAATTTGCAAGTTTGTTGATGCCTTTTCTACCATACATTGTTTCTTTGATCTCTTCCTGTGTCATTTGGTAATGTCTGCTCTCATTGTTTGAACACCAATCTCATGACGTATTTGATGGGTTTAGGCATTATGTTTGCCTTCTGCAATTCATGACTAAGTGTATGTCTAACATTTTTTTTTATATTGATAGCTAATCTTTCATTTTCTAGAAAAGAATATTTATTTGTTTTATGAATGTTATCATTGTAAGGATAATACTCTGACATACCCAGGTTAAGTAGTATCCTGCTCTGTCTTTAAGCATTGTTTCAGTAGCCTTACCTGTGAAGAAGGTATTGCAAAGTATAAAGGATTTCAGAATGTAAATGTTATACTTCTATTATTTTTTAATTCAGGATGAGTACATGCAATTAGGTGCCTGTGGTACATGTTTAGTTGTGGAGAGGAAGGAAGCTACTGTTTTTCAATAAACATATGCAAAAGCTTTTACTGAAAACACAGCTGCTTTAAATGTTTTCATAGCTTATAAATGATATTGATGTCAAAATTAAAATAGCCAAAGAAGGTATTTTCCTGGAAATCCTTTATTTTATTTTATTTTTTCAGAAGATGTGATTGTTCACTTTTAACTTCACTACAAAATATACTTCATTACAATCTGAAATATCTTATTTTTATAATTTAAAAATATAGTTTAAAAAACCCTAAAAGCACAGATCACTTAAAAAAAAATCAAAATTGTCTTGAAGGACTTGAAATCCTAAGTCAATCTTTTATGACTGTGCATATAAACACATCATACAGTCATGGAAAAATAAGCACTTATACAAGTCAGAGAGTGACTGGGATGTCTTTCATATAAAAAGGGAGTATGTTCTCTGTGTATAAATACAAAGGATTATTAAATGAAAGTTGAAAACTTAATAGTTTTATTATATCATAAATACAGCATAAAGCCCCAATGGAAATTCACCCAACATTTGTAGGAGACCAGGTATTTCCACAATAAAATGTAGTTACAACCTTCTTTGTGGGCATGTTTAGTTGAACAGAAACAGTGACTGTTAATGATAGTAGACTCCAAACAGTAATTTTGAATTCACATTTTCTCTAATAAAATACTTTATGTTCAAACCTGTAAATATCCTGTGTTAAAAGTAATTGGTCCCCAGAAAACTACAATCACCATGTTTTCACTCCTTAGGAAACTAACTGAAAAAGAAATCTTGGTTATTCTTGCATATGTCTGAGTTAGAGTAGGAGGGAACATCAACATGGTTTGGAGTAAATTAACCTGCATGTCCCATAAGTGTGCTTATGTATAAACATTAACCGCTATGGAAGCTAAAAGGAACTGGCACAGTTTATATCTCTTTTTCAAAAGTGACTCCAAGGGGCTGTCTGTTACTTTGAGAAATTTGAATGCAGTTTACACATTACTCCTATCTAAGAATATCAGATAAGGCACTTTTCATTATGGTATTGTAAAATCATTATAGTTTAATGTTGATTTATATGTTTTAACAAATTTTACTAATAAATATGAAGATAGCATTCTGTGAGTATTTGCTAGGTGTTAGATTTCCATGAGTGCTAATGGTAATAAGTACTGTGCCTGAAAGAAAATGTGTACAAGGGGCAAGTACAAACAAAATCTGTAAATTAAAAAAAAAAAAAGTTTCCTCCCCTTTCTGTTTTTAGAGAGAGTAAGATTCATGTATTGATAATAAAGATGTTTTTGATTGGTCTGATTAGGTTCAAATATTTTTCAGTATTACATAACTGGATTGTTTGCACTTCAACAGAAGAAAACATGCTGATTCCAAAACCACTGTTTTAATTTTATAGAATTGACACATTTCAAAAAGTAATAAATAGGATATTCATAAAGAGTAATTATTCATGTGACTGTGCTATATTTTGGTACACAAAATGATGTTTAAAACCACAGTCATGCTTATTAAACTTTTTGTGACAAAGATTATAGATTGAAATTCATAAAATTAAGAAAAAAATATCATAAAACCTAGAAGAATGCTCAATGCTTTTTTTTGCCAAAATTCCACAGACTTTTTGTTGAGTTACTTTCTATTGCTACTAGTGAAAGAACAACAAGAATTACCTAATAGGTAGCTAAGTGTTTTTTATATATATGTGTGTGTCTATATATATAATCTTATTATCCACTCTAGAATTTCCTCCTTTTGTTGTTTTTCATTATCTTAAATTTACTTGCTTACTGACATATTTGCAGTTGCTAAAGTATTTTTTGCCAAGCTGTACTGTTCAAAAGTCATTCTGCATAGAAAATTCAGTCTTGTGTTAAACAAAAGGAAAGTAATAAATTTAATGATACAATTTAATTAATCTTTTATTATTACCGTCTTTGAAGCTTTGGTGATAAATTGCAGCCTCAGCCAAAAGCACTTCTCGTGATTCATTGCTTGAGACCAGCACTTAATGTATCATCAAAAGTGGACACCTTTCTTTATTTCATGGGTTATTTAACTTGAGAAAGGGAAAGTAACACAAACCTTAAATTTCTTACTCCAACTATTCTTTTTTAGGAGCCAAAGTCAACATTTATGTTTCCCCAGTGCCTCTCACTTTCACTAAGGAATGTTTAGCATCTTAAATTTCTACTTTTTTTATGACAAGTTCTTCTGTGCAAATGCACTGGTTTTGTGGAGCTAATGCTGTTTTCCTGGATCTTTCCTTCTTTTCCTGTCTGTGCTTCACTCCCTTCCAACTTTGCAATGTAGCAAGCTGAACAGTTGTTCAATCAGATGTACAATCCAGTAAGTTCTTTTTTAAAATGCCCGCTGTAACATATGAAAGCATGAGGATCCATTACCTTACTGTGTTGTGCTTTTCCTCTGTGGACCTTTGCAGAATACTTCTGATGCTCACTATGCTATATTTGTTCTATTCAAATAAATGAACTTTGTGGACTTCAAGGCCATTTTAAGAATATGGACTGTTTTAAATAGGTACCTACAACGTTTCTGAGAAAACAAACATCCTAGCCTTTAGGTCCTCAACTTCTCCATTAGCATGCAGATTTTTTTTTTTCTCATTATATTTTTTTTTTTTTTGCTTTGCTTTCCTTTTTAATTCCTCCTTCTGCAATACTTTATTTGATCCTTCAAACTTAAATAACTTCTGATTTATTCAGTTTATCTTAAATGACTGAGTTGATTATGTGAATAATAATATCTAGGAAGTGACTGGTACTACTTTCAAAAGTCCATATAATTTAAATAGTTCAGAACAGTTTTACTCGTAAAAGACTGTATACATAGAGCATATATACATTAGGAATATGGAAACATATTTAATCAAATAAAATGCTGAATTATAAAATGGTGAATGCAAAGGGTAGCATTTGAAAAAGTCAAACAGTATTACTTTGTCTTGTTTAGCGTTATTATTATTGCCAACGTCTACTTCAATTACACAATACTTGACTGTGTTCCTTTTTCAGTTTGAGGAAGAGCAGTAACAAACATTCTGCAGAGAACAATTTTAATTTTTTTGGCTGAGACTGTTACACTTAATGTGCTGTGAGCATCACAGGACAGAAAAAATGATGTAACTATAATAACAATTTACAAGCTATAGTTTACATAGCAATCATAGTTGAAATTATCATGTAATTGGGATAGTAAATATAGAACTGTTTTTGTAGCTTAAGTAATGTGATACTATCCATTAGGGAAGGTATTGCCTTCCCTGAAGTCAATGGGAATTTTGCCATTAATGTCAGTGTACCAGGATTCCAGCTTTGGAGTCTATTATTGCTAAGTTTTGTAGCTTCTAACCGTGTAATGGATATGTCATGACTTACGTAAAGGAAAAGAGAGTCCCACAGAGTGTTCTGTATTTACTTTTAAATTTATTGTTTAACTGTTTTTAGACTTGAGTTATAAGTTGATTGTAAGTAGCATAAGACCTGATACTATCACATCTACCATCCGATACACAGCTAGTCAGAGCTTTTCCCTTTCAAAGATAAAACCCTGTTTTTGTATCATCTTGATTCACCTTTGTGGTAGTAATGTTTCTGTTCATATAATTTACACTCCTACTGTACATGTATTTTCAGACTGGAGTCTTTTTTGTGTTATCTCTTCTCTTGATTTTCATAAATGCTTTCCAGTTATTATTTCAATATTAGTTATTCTGCTGTATGGAATTTGTTTGTTACTTTCTAGTCTATTTGTGTGTGGTATTCCGAAGTCAGTCAGGTTTGGGGTTTTTTTTGCCTTTTTTTTTTTTTTTTGCCTTTTTTTTTTTTTTTTTTTTGCCTTTATGTGCTTAATTTTCCAATGGACAGCCTGTTGGCAGTTTCAAAATAATGGATACAAGATCCTTTTCCTCTGACATCAAGCAGCAATTGTAGTATATCCCTGAGACAAGTTTTGTTAAATAAACTTTTCTTGCTCATCATCTTTCTTCTACTTATACATATCAGTCTACTTTTAACAATGTAAGTAGTAATGATCCTTTTCTCCCCCAAACCACATCAGATCTGGAAATTAAATTGTGATTTGATTAAAGTGAATGGCAACATATTCTTTGAATTCCACAAAGCCAATATCTCACCTTTCTTCTTTGAGATGGCATAATAGGAGTTACGTGAAACACTTACTTTTGTACTGCAAATCATTATGATACTTTATTTAATTGAATGTTACCTTGTCATTTTTTTTTGTTTGAGAATAATAGTGTTATACAAACCCAGATAGCAATCTAATATTAAAATACTGAAGTTTTTATATTCTTTTGTTTACATGCATGAGAGAAATAACAGTCAATCTCTGAGTAGAACTTTTTTAGCCCATTCAGTAATATAGTTGTTTTTGTTTGGTTTTTTTTGGTGTTTTGTTTTTTTTTTTGTTTGTTTGTTTTGTGATGGAATATATTTTTTCTACTATGTCATAGAGGTATTAACTCGAAGACTTTTATTTATTGCTCAATCTAACGTTTTTAAAATACAGCAGTGGATAGAATTGCTTTTCCCTTATACACATTTGGGTACCAAAGTGAATATGATATGGAAGGGGTGCAAATCCTGCATGCTTTATAGTAAATGATCTTGCAATGTATTCACCTTTGTGAATAAGATGTGAACAGTACTGGGTGCATATTTCTTCATGTTTTGAAAGGTGAACTTTTTGAAATACCCATTGAGTTCTTGTGCAAAATTGATTGTAAGAAGTTACGTGATTGTTTTCTACTGTAATGAAAATAGGATGATGTACTTAGTTTGGAGTTTAGATGAACCCTTTTCTGAATAATAAAGACTTAATTTTCCAAATACTCCATCAGAGCAACATCAGATTAAAATTTAAAGTACTTGCAGAATCAACTCTAAATTCTTAGAGCAGTCCCTGAAGCTAAATTAAATAAACCTTGAATTTTAAGGAGACTACAAAAAAAACTAAGGTGACAGCAATTATTTTTTTTAGTTTAATATTGAAAGTAATAAAATTTGAAGGATCTTGCAAAGTAATTTCTTGCATGTAAATTCTGCTATTCCATTTATTTTTTTTATGAAGTACTCAGTTGATTTCTGTGTTTGTTTGTGTCTGAAGCTCTACAAATTAAATACTGTAGCTATCCATCCATTTTTGTTATGCAAGATAATGCATGCATGACTGTACCATAAAATTTTAATAAACTAAATAATTCATGTTGCATGTCTATTATGGTGTTTCTGTGGGAAATTTGTGGTTTACATAACCAAATGTTACTTTATGTTTAAAGTATTTGTAGTACTTACTAAGTATATATCAGAACAGATACATAATTATTGTAAAAATTAGTGAAATTCTAATGGTAGAGTGATATGCTATTTTTGTTGAATTGTAAAAATAACATACGACAACACAGTCACAAGATTGACAGACAGAAAGCATCTTAAACCAAGTGTGCTAGTTTGAAACTAGCCTAATCTGTACACACAAGTATTATCATTTACAGATACAGATTAAGAGATGAATTTGCTGCTGAGAGGTATGCGTGAACCAGTAATTTTTACCCATAAAAGCCCTATAAAACCAGAAAATATATTCATTCTTCCCAAGAAAACAGAGAATTTAGTGAGAAGTAAGGGGACAGAAGTGAAAAAATGAAGAGAGGACAGCAGTAATATGCAGAGACTTTCTGATTCATGGGATAACAATGCAGCTTCTGGTTAGAAGTGATCCAAGCCTGTCTCCCACAGCCTGTAAAAAAGCCAAAGAAATCTGCCCTGTCTGGGTAGGAGTAGAGTCCATATTAGCTGAACTGCCTTTTATCTCCTTTGGGCCTACTCTTTGACCTCAAAAGTCAAGTTCCATCTGTCAACAAATCAGCCCTGATCTGTATGTAACAATTAAAAAGAAGTGCCTAGTTCAAATCCAAAGACATCTTTCAAAGCCATAAAATATAATAGGGCTCATATAAGTAATTCTATGCTTTTGTCCTGGGAATGTCAGATGGATTGTGCTTTGCACTCTTGTAGTATCAGCAGATTTGTTTACAATGTGAGGATTCCCTTAAAGGGGCTCATTGCAAGTTAGAAAATCACCTGCAGAATGCTGTTTTTCAAAAATGTTTTATGTTCTTGCTCTCCCTTTTTAACTAACTTTCGTCTCCTTTCCTTCTTCATTAAGGCAGTGCCCAGGTAGAAATCTGATTCATGCTAATAGTAAAAAAATATTCTATAGGAAGTGCTTGTAAAAGTAGAGGCAACCAACTTAATTGGTGGGTTGCAATAATGGGATTTATTTTTTTTTTTTTTTTTTAAGAGTAGAATAGTTTTATACTTGTCTTTGAACTGAATGCTTGTATTGATTTATATGTGACAATATGGATAACTGTGCTCCACTTCAAAACCCTGTATAGGTTGGATACTTACTCATACTGGATTTAGTCATACCTTATAGGTTCTGCTTCATGTTGAAAAGCAGGGAGATATACAGTGACCAAGTTTGTGCTGCAGAATTTTCCAAAACCACATCCCACCAATATGGAATGACATGATGTCGTGGTTTGAGCTCAGAGGGAAAATGAGAACCACAAAGCTGCCCACTCTCTCTTTCACCCCCAGAGCTGGGAAGGAGAAAATAAGGCTTGGGAATCGAGATAAGGACAGGGAGGGATGACTCATTACAGTCACGAGCAAAACCATTCTTCCTGGGCTCCGTTTTGCTCTCACTTTATCTACCTCCTCCCCCAAGGCAGCACAGGCAGCAGGGAGTGGGGGGTGCAGTCAGTCCTGCTGCTTCTTCCTCCTCAGGGTGGGGGGAAGTTCTTGCATTCTTCCTCTGCTCATCATGTTCCCTTTTCACAGGAGACAGTCCTCCACAAAATTTCTCCAACATGAGTCCCTCCCACGGGTGGCAGCATTTCCCTAGGTGCTCTGGTGTGGGACACCCCCACATGTTGTAGTTCTTCCAGTGCTGAACTACAACAGCAGGGACTTTTTTTCCCCAGAGTCCTGGCCTCCTTCAGGTGCAGTCAAATGCTCCAGTCTGGGCTACTCTACAGGCTTCAGCCCAGCCTCTGCTTCACTGTGGACCTCCATATGTGGCAGGGGGGGATGGCCCCTGCCATCTCACAACAGGATACAGGGGGCTCTGCACCAGTGCACCTCCCCCATCCTTTCCTCTTCCTTCCTTCCACTGACCTTGGTGTTCACATATGTCACAACTCCTCCTCCCAGGTTCCCCTTCTTAAATATGTTATCACAGAGGTGCAGCCACCCTCACTAATTGGCTCACCACTGGTCAGAGGTGGGTCAGACTTGGACCCAGGGGAGCTTCAAGAAGCTTCTCACAGGGGCCACTGCTGTAGCCCCCTCTCCTGCTACCAAAACCTCTGCTACTCACAAACTCAGCACATGAATACCACAGAAAGCACAAAAATTGATAATACTTTTGCAACTGCACATTAATTTCCTTAGCATGATATTGAGCAAAGATTATAGGGCTAAACTGAAGAATATAATTTATTATTTCTGGTGATGTTTTAGTTATAAGCTGTGCAGTAGATAATTTGCTTAGTACATGTTTGAGCTGCTGTGTGACAGGAATATTCTATGATAGTTGAACATCTGGCACCTTTGCACTGGTGACACTATCATGTTCTTGCTCAACTAAGTATTTTAATCAGAGAAAGTTCAGTGTGGCAATGATAAGCATAGAAAAAGACAGGCTTCTCTATCTTTTCTGCATTGCTTCTTGTCCTGGGTTAAAACTAGAGTAGAGGTGCATGGGTGGAAAAAAGTTTGGGCTGAAGTTGAGAGTGTCTGTATACTAAAGTGAAGAAAAGACTCATTAGAGGCAGGAAGGTGGATATTTTGCCAGTTTATGAAATGATGGAAACAGGGCTGGTAAATAAGTGAATTATACACTCAGATAAACAGAAGGGAAAGAAAGGTGGCAAGAAGAAGTATGCAAGAGTGGTAGCCTCTAGAGGGGAACTGTGAAATATGGAATTTACCTTTAGAAGAAGAGGAGAAATCTGAAGAGCAATAGGGAACCACATGCTCTTTGCAAAGATTTCTTAGTATCTTAAATGTAGGCTTTTTTTCTTTTTCTAGAGTGAACTTATCTTAACCAACCTATGGAATTGTTTTTATTATTTCAAAAGGATACTTGGTGCTCATTTTCAACAGATAAAACATTGTGTAATATCTTAATAGAGTTGATGGAAAATTGAAGTGGTTTACAGCTGGAAATTTGTACACAGTCTCTCAAATAATTGTCCCTGAGTCTGAGTGTTACATTTACTTCAAAAATTGCAAAGCTAGTTGAAAGTAAATTTCTTGAAACAATAGCCAGTAGAAAATAAATCAAAGTTTATTAAAGCAGGAAGATTTGTGAGGATGAAAAGGAATCTGTTGCTAGCATCTCACACAAACAGTAAAATCAAGATACTCTTTGGATGTTATCTTGAAACAAGCTATGCTAGGGATATCCTGTTTCTGTGTAGAATTCAGGGCTGGAACATGTATTAATATCCAAAATAGAGAATTTGAAGAGCAAGGCTGATATGTTTAGTAAGCTTCTCATGTCATTCCCTTGGCTTATTTTGGTAGCCAAATATTTCTTCTGAATAAAAATCTCACACTTGGATAAATAACACTTAAAATGTGCTATCTTTTTTCTTATTATCCTCATGCTTAAATGATATGTTACATGCAAACCCCCTAAGTTTCTTCCCTATTAATTTCAGTTTTTTAACTGTTGTATTTATACTAAACATAGACTTGTTCTTTATTTATACAGAAAATTTTAACCATTGCAAAGGATATGAACCTTCTAGTATCTGTAGTTTATATTAATTCTTTCCAAAACATGCATGTTTCATTTTGATCTTCATTTCTTTCATTGCTTGCTTGCATTGTCTATTCCCTGAAATTAAGAAGGATAAGTAAGTCCACGTCTTCTCTGCATAAGATAGTTGGAGGACCTTCAGTTCTAAATATTCTGAATTTCTGTAAAATTCCTGTATGTGAAGAGAATGTTATCTGAATTTTCTATGTTTAATGTGCACTGCCTTAAACTACTTGTTTTTTCCTTGCCTGCTCATTCAAGATGCCAATTAGGAATAATGGGAAGCAAGGGGTAGGCTAAGCATTGCAGTGCATTGTTGTTTCCATCTGTCTGTGATTATTCCGGCCAACAGTTTAAAGCACTTGATGCCAGATCATGCTCCCATTGAAGTTAATTGAGTTTTTGCCATTAGGTTTGATGGGAGTAAGACTGGGCTCTGCACTGTTGTTATTGTTGTATTCATTGCGTTCTTTCTTGTCTGTGAAACTGCCACCCATCCATGCATGTGTTTGCCAGGTTTGTGCCATTTTCACCAATGGGCTTGTTCTTCTGATGTTTCAGGTTAAGTATTAACAATAAGAGAAAAAGGATTATTGGGTAAAATGTCTGCTGAAAGCAACTTTTTAGTTTATTGGTTTGTCTTTTAAAAACTGCACTGCATAAAAACAATTTATTCCTTTTAAATTCTTCATTTAAACTGCATTTGAAACATCTGGTGATACAGATTACAATATGTATATATATTTCTCTGTGTGTGTGCATATATATATATACATGGACAAAGTGTATATATGTATGAGGAAAGAGAGAGAACATGATTTATTAAGAAATTGCCTATGTATTTGAAACATTTAAAAAGCTTAATATGAATTAAATGAATTACAAGATGTTTTTTTAGTTTAAAAAACACCCTTATAATATGGTCACTTTAATATGTAAAAAGCCTTAATAAATCCCCTCTTCCTTCAGGATGATAGCATTTGACTATAATTTTAGACTATGAGGATATTTTCATTCCTTTTCATAATGCTTCTGTAGAAAATATTGTCAGACAAAAATACCCGTAATCCTTTTTAATGAAATTCTGAACTCCGAGAGTGAAGTAGTAAAGCTCTTAAGGCTATATAAATTATTGTCATCCTTATTTTTTTTTTAAATATTGATTCTGAAGGCTCATGAGGCTGAAGAGGAGGCACGGATGAATCCAGAATTTGCAGACAGAATGAAACAACTTGACAAAGAGGCATCGTACTATAGAGAAGAATGTGGCAAAGCTCAGGCTGAGGTTGACAGACTTCTAGAAATACTCAAGGAAGTAGAGAATGAGAAGAATGACAAAGATAAAAAAATTGCTGAGTTAGAAAGGTAATTCTTATATTGTCTTACACTGAGTGGCATTTTTATTTACTTGATCTTCATTGCAGAGCAGAGAAATTAAGAGTAGAATATGCTTTTTTAACAGAATGCTTATTATGTCTTGTAAAATTGAATCAGAAATAAAGAAAAACAAACAAACAAACAAACAAACAAACAAACAAACAAAAAAAAACAACAAAAAGAAAAACCCCTAAAACTACTTGAGAACTGTAATCTCCTGTCTGCTCAATTTGGAACAATTTAAGTTACCACTTTTTTAGTAGTCTCCATAAAAGGAACACATATAGAAAAAAAATATATGGAATTTACAATGACAACAACCCTCCCAGAAAACCTTGGGGAGCAATCCTGTCTTTCTAGTAACCAGTAAAACTGTCCCCACACATATTTCATCAGTGTGAACAGCATCTCTAGTTCTCAGAGGTCCTGAAAATTATTGGTAAGTATTTCTAACCAGTCTTATGACTACTTAATAATAATTGTATCTATTTCTCAGTGTTTCTGTAGTCTTCATCTGTTTCAAATGAATATTTTCTGACATTGATGAGGCAGTGTTTGTTTTATTTCTGGGAGGGTTGTAGAGACATTCCTTAATAGAGACAGGAAGGTTTTGAGATCCATTTGTCTCACACTCTTTGTAATTAAATGATTCTTGGAACCTTCTCCCATACATTATGCTGCAATTTGTTTGATTCATAAGCAATTTATGTGGATCTGATTTCTTTGTTCCCTTCCTGTGCTTAGCCACTCTTACATAAATGAAAGAAAGAATTTTGTGGTTTCAAATATTTTATGTAATTGTTTTCCAGTGATCAAGTCAGAAGTGTTTCATGGTTCCAAATGAGAATTTTAAGGGATCTCATTGTTGCCATTATTGCTATGGTTCCAGTTAAGACACAGCAGTGCTCTGTCCCATTAGGGAGAATTACCAGGAAAGAGGGGAATAACTGCTGGAAGTGTTGGTTACCTTAGCGGGGAGGAAAACAGTCAGCTTGGAAAGGAAGATGTGTAGAGCATCTTTTACTTATGACCTTGACAGTTATCTGTTGCCTAAACTTATCTTTGCAGACATTTGACAAAGGTTTAATAATGGTAATAATGAATAGTATATAGTTATCAATCAAAGTGTCATGAGAACTGAGACCTTAAATCTAAAGTGAAAAAAGAAGATTTGTTCTCAAAATAGAACTGAGTGTTTACATGAGGACAACTTTAATCAGCACTTGCCTATCTTACCGCATCAGGAGTTTAGAATACTTTAGTGTTTGCACTTTTAATATGTAAGGTAGATACCAGAGGAATCTAGTAATGAAGAGAGGTCACTTTGTGCACCATAACAGTGAGTGCTGCCTAAACAGTCCAAAATCCTAAAGCAGCATCTTGGAAAAAGATAATATGATTGCTAAATTTGTGTGGTCAAGAAAGTGCTGTCTATTCCACCCATTGGTGCATGTACTGTAGGGGCAGTTACAGACCTAGGCTGGTAATATAGTGACTCCAGGTTTAACTAAGCTGGTGGAAAAACTGACTGTATAGTCTTTACAGAAACAGTAGCTGATATCCTCACTGGGCTGTAAAGCCTACTGAATTATTGTGTGACACTAGCCACAATAGTAGGCATGCTAAACTTCTGTTCAAGAGGATAATTGCAAGCTATTTATCAAGTTGCACTCATGCGTTGAATGGTTGAATATTAAAATGACATTTAAGATTGAAAGACAAACATGATGAAGTAGTGGAGCTTGTGATCTAAAATTTTTAGTAAATGTTAATTTGATGTAAATATTTTACATATAAAGAAGAGATAAAGAATTTGTATAGATCAGTACACTTATTTGGATTAAATTGAGAATTATTGATTACAAAACAATGATTACAAAGAAACAAGGAACCAAGGGATGCAAAGATATTACTACAGCCTTATCCGCACACAACCTCTTCTGATTGTGTGAGAACCCTGTAGTGAGTTATGTAGTGGACAGAATTTTCTATTTTTGTATTATTTATTTTTTTTTTAAATTCAATGTACTTTTATCAGTGAAGTTTTGGGACATCAATTTCCAGTCTTCTTGTTGATGAAGGTGTTAATCCTGAAGTAACTTTTCAGAAAATAACTTGGCACCACTGAGTAAGCACGGACTTTTTGAACAGGATATACTGTACTTTAAATGTGATGAAGTAGTTAAGCTTTGTTGCAAACTTTTAAGTGCTTCTATAATGCTTACAATAAGATACCTGTGGCATGACCAGCTAAGGACAGTAGTGTGTTGCAGTTTTTTGGCAATCATCATGCTCCAAGATTTGTTTGTGAATTCTATTAACTTTAATGCAGTTTCTCATTTATTTAACTGATATACAGCTTTCAAGATTAATTCCAAATTCCTATACACAGAGTATCTATGTTAATTATTGCAAACTAGGGAAAAAATATTTGCATAAAATTGATTTATTATTGATATCACCAACAGAAGTTACTGCCTTTACTTGGTAATGGAGTCTTAAAGCTACTTTCCTCCATGCATAAACACAGGCCCTAATTTGTTGATTAGTACAGTAAGGCTAGCAATCTGCCAGCAATATAAAGGTGTAATAGGAAAATATTTTTAGACAGTGTGTATCTAACCCTTTGTACTAACCAGGCTTACCTTAGGTTTCTCTAAAATTTAATTTATTTTCTCTCCCTCTTCCTTGTTCTCTAAAAACATAGGCCTAAAGATCTAAATCTGTATATAACTGTGCCACCTGTTGGTGTCCCTAGAGAGGGAACTTTGATGTTGAAATTCCCCTTTCTAGGGGGTTAGGTGGAGTGTAAATTGCTGTAACATTTTATGAAGTGCTACTACTTTTTCTGCTTGTAATGACTACTTGATTGGCTCATTATTGAAGGGAAGAGGTGGAGCCAAAGCTCAGTTTACCCACTTTATGGGAATAAAGCATTGTGAAAATGACTGCAATTTGTAACAGAAGCATATTTGAAAATGTTCTTTCCTTCTTGTCCCGCTGTTTCGTAATGCATATAATGTGCTCTAGGTTGCTATTTTCTCTCCTTACTTTTTCTACTTTTTTTTTTTTTTTTTCTTGCTCAAAACCAGTATATCTTTAACATTTTACCTAATTTCAGATGCAAGGGCATCTCTGGGGTTTTGTAGGAAAATGAATACTCTTTTGAAATGTATTTGTTGGTTAATAGCTTGCTGGGATCCATGTTCACTGCTATGCTCACATCTTTACATTGCAAGGTAATTGCAACAACGTAATTTTTCAAAATTGACAAACAAATTTCTGAGGGTTATAATCTAGAGCATTGCAAGTTATGGTATTGTCACAATATTTATTATATTCACATATAAATTCATCAACATAGTGAGGTGTACTTGTATAAATCAGTTTGAAAAGTAAAAACATTTGTAATAAAGTTATCATTTACAAATTCAACAAAGGATTAAAACAAGATGATGAATACTGACGTTCTATTATTTATCAGAAAGTATTGACATGGAAAGTGTCAAATACTCAAGGGTAAAAATACCTGCTTCGAGATATGGCAATTAAATTTATAAGTGTATGCTACTTGGCAGATGAACATTATTTATAATCCTGAAGAAGATTTCATATGAATAGTAATTCTTTTGGGTTTAATGCGATTTTCTATACTCAGAAACTATCACACTTCTGAGTTGCATCATTTAAGATTCATAATTCATACTCTTCCTCATATATAAAAAGATATAGGTCTGTTTCTTAAGTTACTCCATACATACTAGTTTTGTATTCTATAACTTTTTATTACTACATAGGAGAACCAATTCCTCCTCCTATACTAAAGCTGTTTTATAACTTTTACTACATCTTCCATGATTTATCTGTTTATATTGAGAACAGGTTAAAATGAAATGTAATATATCCCAGCATAATGAACTTTCAGTAAACTTAGATTGATGTTTTCCTTGGTTTTCTTGATGAAGGAAGTGTGGTGTGTTGTTCTGGGTTTGTTTGTGTTTTTTTTTTTTTTTTTAATAATGTAAATGAAACTGGGTAAGATAGTGATCAGCTTTCAAATTTAATGTGAATGGCCTAGCCAAATAGAGGTAACTGCAGCTGAAACAGAACTGTCAGGATGGAAGGTATATATTCTTTAATGCTTTTATTAATGGCATTAGAATGAAAAGTATATTTATGAAACATGCTAGGAACTTTGAATCATGAAATTAAGTGAAATACAACAGTACAAAATGCATGATTGTGAAGTTAGGACCACTAAGACTGCCTGCTGTAAACTAAGGATAATTCCTGATACAGTTTAGGAAGAGAAAGACTGGGTGAATTTGCTTATGGAAGCATCATTATGAGCCATCTAAATAATGAAGCAGACATCTAAATAATGAGGTGTGAATCCTGATATGTCAGAATAAATGTCTGCAGTAAGGATAGGAAGGTATTAATGTCATCAAGCTCTAGGAAGACTCCATATGGAACACTGCTGTATACTTCTCACTGGTCATATTGGAGAAGGTTGAATGAAAACTGCAAACAGGTGCAGAGAAGGCTGGTGGAGTGATTAAAGGAACAGGGTGCTCATGTCACTAGAGGACTCAAAACACCAGTGGTTTGCTTCTGTGGCAAAACAAAGGCTCAGTAGGCATGCTTGTTCTCTATAAATATGTGAAGGGGTAAGCACTGCGGTGAAAGAGGAGTGATTTCAGTAAAAGTGTTGGCACATAATACAGTGGATATAAATTATCCATTAATAAATTTAGACTGAAAAGAGAAAGAAAGTGATGAGAACACAGTGTGGATTGCAAGATCTTAGATCTGCTTTTCTTCAGTGGCATGTTAGATGGTCGGTCATTTGCTTGATTGAGTATAGCTTCTCAGCGAAGCTTACAACATTAAGAAAGCTCATTTAAAAATACTGTACTAGCCATGAGACAAAACCAGTTTGTTTTTAGACAAGAAGTTTGCTTTTTTGTTATCCACTTCCTATATGCAGTGGTAAGTTTTGGGTAGTAACATTGATGCACATTTAAACTCTTGGTGTTCAGACTACAATTGTTTCATTCTGAATTGATTTGGATTTGAATTCTGATGAAAGTAAGTCCACACAGCACTGACATAAATAACAAAACATCAGTGTATGGAATAACTGCATTTAAAAAACAAAACAAAACATTTTTGTGGCTTTTAAAAAATTTCTCTTTCATAAGTGAGTGAAAAACTGCACCAATGAGAGCTTTAAGGATTAGTCTAGCTGTGTGTCTAGCAGGGATATTTTTTGTCTTATTTAATTGAAAGGGCATGTTAAGTATTTTTTAACAAAGAAGTTATCGAACATCAGAGTATTTTCAGTGATGAAGTATTAACTTTATACTCCAGACTGAAGAAAAAAATTGCTGTCAGTGTTAGAAGGGGCTGTGTTTCCTGGGAGGGCAAATCTCTATCTTTGATTATTAGATCCAGTGCTTTGTGAACTTTTAAATGGTATCTCTGAACAAATTGTTTAGCTGGATTGGCTTTCATAGAAAGACTTGATGAATGTGGGTCACTAAACCTATGTCAATTCAAAAAAAGACTACATGGTATGTGATGAGACATTTGTGTGGCAGAAAACACTATCAATATCCACCTAATTTATTTGTTCCATTTGGTGTGTGTATGCATTTGGATGGTTATAGATACTGATGGCTTTCCACAGTCCACAAATGACAAGATGCTGTTTTACTTCAAAATTTCTGGTTTATTCAGTGCACAGCAAGACTACACTGCTACAGAAATTTTACTTTACTTCTCGATTTTCTTTCCCTTTCTTTTTCATTTTTTTTGAATAAAATCTGCTGATATAACATCTACTTGTTATGTTTTTAAAGAACTAATGTATTCCTCCCTTTATTCTCTTTTGCTGTCTTCCTCCCTATCTGTTTTTCTCCAAACTGCTGCTTTCTTCCCTACTTCAACCAGCTTGACTTCCAGGTCAGTATTTTCTGCTCTCCTACTCAATTTCTCCTTGCACAATGAAGATTTTCATTGAAGCTTCATTTATTTGCCATTTTGATTCCATATTAATAACTTCTGTTTGTCTTTTCTGTGTTTTTTTTGTTTTTGTTTTGTTTTGGTTTTATTCTGCTTATCCCTATTGTGAAGTTTTTGGTCATTCCATTTCTAGATCAGAAACTTTATGGTAAATTAATACTTTTGTCAAAAGTCTGTAAGAAAAAAATGTTTATTAACAACATATTCAATTCATATGTTGTTTTTTGTGAAGATTTTTTTCTTCTTTCAGTTTTACTTTTATTATTTTTGTCTTGGGAGTTCAACATTGGGAATAGCTTTTTGGTAGACAACCCAACCTGGTAGGTAATGGAACAATAGCAATAGCAATATTATACAGCAATAGCATACAGAGAGATTTATATCTAAGATCAGAGACATATTCTTAATACTTTACCATCACCCCTTTTTCTGTTATTGCAGACGTAATAGGGTGAGTTGGAGTGATTCAACTGCTGGTTCAGAAACTTCTAGCTGTTTGTGCTGGCCAGATTCTGGACCAGCACATAACTGCAAGGAAGGTGTATGTATGTGTATGTTTTATATACTGTGTTTGTATTTAGCATCATCTAGTCAGATTCATGTTTTTCTTTCTTCCAGATTTTAGATTAGTTTAGTTAGTGTTCATGTTTATGCACTGTTTTTGAGTAATCTTATCAAGTATTATCATGTCTTGTGGTGCATGTTGAAAGTAAAAATTGATCTAGTCTTTTTATTCTCTTAGTAAGCCTTGTTATTTTTTTTTTTTTTATGTTTATGAATAGCTATAAATTAGTGAAGTCTTAAAACATCTAGTTGATACTTTAGAAGCTACTAACTTTATATGGTTTGGACTACAGGTTCATCTGCTTCTTCCTTTCCCCATTCATTTCAGTGTGGCTTTTTTTTTTTTTTTTCTTTTTTCCTTTTTTGCTGTGACAGGTATTTAAGACAGTTCTATACTCTTAAGATCATTCCTTATTTTTCAGTTTCTGAAATTGGTGATTGAAACTTGCATAAATTTTGTTTCCTGTACTGAAGGAGCTTTGCTTTAGGCAGGAACAGTTTTCAATCATTATCAAGGTAGAAGGTGTTTACTTCTTCACAAATCAGTTGGACTGTGTATAAAGGAGGATGTATACTGCAAAGACTTTCCAGGTGGATTTCAAAGTTTTGCATTTGCAGATATGGCTCCAGGTATCAGGTTGCCATGCAGCACATTTGACTAAAATGGCAAATGTCCAATCTGCCTTTTTAATGTCTTCAGATCCGAAGTTTTCAGAATTATTTGTCGATGTGTACTTTTTGCACAGCATTGTTCTCTATTCATATAGAAGCAGAACTTCCCAGTTTGGGAGAGTTTTGGTATCTTAGTCTCAAAACCTAGCACAGATCACATTTCATGGTTCAGATACGTCAGAGAAGTTTCTGACATGGATGCCTTTGAACTGTAGAGCAAAAGATGGCTCATTATGAAAAGATTGCCAAGACAGGATGTTTTTTTTCCTGATGCACTTTAATGCACATCACAATTGCAAGTTACTTTCCAGCTGGAAAATTTTGTTTCTGAAATTTGTGATTAATTGATTGCAATAATGAATGGGATGAACACTTTCTTTTTATTGTCTATCTACTACAAGCACTTTTTAATGCACTTGAATGGATAGTTATTACACCTGAATTATAAAAATGCTTAAACAATTTAATTTCAGAATATTTCTTTCTTCCAGAAACTAATTAAATGCATTTACATGAGTTGGCTATGATAAAAATATTATCTGAATGTGACCACTCTGTCATTTCTATCAGAACATACTCAACATTGATTAAAAATCTCTCTAGCCAGAGAGAGCTTAAAGAAAGGTATTACGCTCTGTGGTTGTCATTATGGTTGATTTCACTGGAATTCAATGATTGGTATGCAGAAACATTTTTTGAGCAGTTGGAGGTGCAATTTCTGTTATGTTTTATTGACCTAAAAAAACCAGCTGACCTTGTTGAAGCAAGCTGTCCTCATAACCCTGCCAACTTGCATCTCTAGAGTCCTAGAGAAGTTGTAGCATATGATTAGAGTTTGTTGTGGGATTTCAGTGAAGTGCTGTTTTCACAGCTTGAATCATCATTAAGGTCAAAACTTAATTTAAGAAACAGATCTATTAATTTCTTTAATTTCTGCTTATCAATATGTTCTTAGCTGTCATTTTATTCATCCATATTTATATGGGTTAGAATGATTAGAAAAATGGTGCATCTGTTTTATAACATGACAGGCTATGGATACTGATGGCAAGCAAGAAAATCAAATACATTAGCACAACACACACCATGTGCATCTACCTATATAATAAAAAAAATGTTCTGGGCATAAGAATCAATACAGTAACTTTTTTTTTTTTTTCCTTTAGATTACAGCAGTTTATATACTACCCAAACTTTTCTGCCTGCAGATAAAGAGGAACTGGATAATTTTTCCATCTATGTTGTACTGACCAGTGCTGGAAATTTTCCCACCAGCCTCTGATGTTGGCCTTCCTAATTGTTTCCGTGGGAGGCTAGAGCTCAGTGAGATGTGTAAGGCAAGGTTTAACAGTGTTTTAAATTTAACTTACGAGCCTTCCACAGTTTTGTCAAATGTCAATTTGATGGTTCCAAGGGCAGAGTGATATGTTGTTCAAAGATAATTTCCCTGGAGAAATTGAGATAGTGTACTAAGGAAAACTGAGAGAATCTGTGATATACATTACTCATCTGAGGTACTGGTTATTCTGAGTGAGAAACACAGTTGTCACACTGGATAACAGGCAGATTGTTGTCATGTCTTTCTCTTTTAGTCTGTTTGCTACATATATGGAATCAACATTTTAACATTGTGAACATTTTAACATTTAAACATTTTGAAAGAGATGAAGATTTGAGAAGAGCTTATTTAGAATTATCTGATTACATATGTGGTTTTGAATTAGTGTACATTTACATTTAATTTTATTTAAGAAATAGTAAAGTAAGAAGTTTATTTTCTTGGAATTCTATTTTCTTAAAAAAATAGTAAAATAATAATGTATTACAAAATAAGCAGAAATCGTAGTGATAAACAATAAAAAGATGCAAACGGGTCCCTGGGACAGAATAGTGCATTGTCCGCTTTTATTCCACTGACTCCTAAACCTGTCTGCTCAGTTCTCTACTTTACCCTTTCTGTTTGCTTAAAGGCATGCAGAGGTTAAAATAATAATTTCTGAGACAACTAGAAATGGATTATTTAAATTAGGAAGGATATTTTGTAATTTCTCAGTGATGTGCTTTTTTCCGGTTTTGATTTGGAGTGTAAGTACTCAATGGAAGTAAATACATATGCAGCATAAACTGGATATGAGGAGAAAACAGCTCTATCTATCTGAAGGAAAAATATCCACTTTGGATAGGGTTGGACCTGACACCACAATTCTGTGTTGGGGAAGAGAGAACATAAGGAACTGTTACTCTTTCCATTTCATGGTTACTAATTTCAAGATAGAGCAGTATTTCTTATGCTTCTCTAGACCTGTTGCTTCCATTGGTTTACCCCGGGGGGAAGATCCACAGTACATATTTCTTTATTTTTTGGATGTTTGAATAAAGTAGCCATGCAGCACTCCTCTGGGGAGCCTGGTGACTGCCTGGGTGCAATGCTGTCAGGATTCCCTGTGTGCAGTGGAGGGGTGTGTGAGTGAAGAATCATTGTGAGATAGCACAGCTTACCCTCAAAAAGCTGTGACTGAAAAGAGACAGGGGAACTAAATTTAGGAATTGGGCTGTTGGTGGAACCACTTCTTCCACTCACATTGTTTGCTTCCATAATGCACAACAACATGCCTGGACAATGTGATTGTGACTGGATTGAAATGCTCTGATCTGGATTTATATTAAGGAGAAGATAGTATGTCAAAACAAGAAATCATACAGAATTTATCTGATGTATTTGAAGGTCTGAAGAGATGGCTGCAAAAGTCTGGAAAATTTGATTTATCTGTTGAATGATAATGGCTTGATTGGTCCTGAGAACTGGTAGGTTGAGCCAGGAGTTGCGGTCAGAAGATTTGATTCAGAGGGAAATTGCAATGAAACATGAAGTGCAGCAGAGGAGGTTTGATCCTGATTGCTGTCAGGGTGAGCTGGACATGCTGTAGAGCAGTTGGATGAAGAGAATAACTGGACAGAGTTGGGAGGTGGTGGGTTTTTTTGTTGTTTTTTGTTTGCCTTTTTTTTTATTATTATTTTGGGGGGGGTTGTTTGCATGTTTTTTTAAAAGAAGAAAAGCTTACCAGGTCAACAGCTGTAAAGGACCTGATGAAGCAGCAGCAGGACTGCAACTCCTCGGTTGTAAACGTCAGGCAACAAACTGTTTCCAGTTACGGGTGACAGTTATCACTAATGGTATCAATTAATAAAATAGCTGAGCAAGCAATTGCCATATTAAATCAGATCAAATATCCTTCTCATCTAGTGTCCTGTCATCAACAGGTTTGCTTTTTTTCAAAAAAAATTTTATAAGAACATCAGAAGAAAATGCAGAACAATCCTGGGTGTACAAGAGAGATGTGTGACAGATGAGTCTTCTGGTACAGATTTCACACATGTTCATATACAGTGTCATCCAGTAAGAATGTGCTGAGAAAGAGAGTAGTGCAATGCACTGCATTGGAGGTTCAGCGGTTGCATTGCAGATATGTGTTGAAACAAAGTGATATGAACCATACTTTGGAACAGGATTTTAGTGGGTCTTTTTCATTCATGCATTATCCTCATGTGGATATTTCTAGTATCTCTCTAGGGCTTTGGAGGGAACTGTGTCAGACTAAACACTTCTTAAACAAAGATTTTGGAAAACTTCCCAGATTGTGTGTTAGGTAAACCCTTCCTCCCACATTTTTGTCTTTGAGGTGAGAAATGTTTCAGTGACTTCT